AGAGAGCCTCCTCGATGCTCGATCCTCGGTCCTCGAAGTGCATTTAGAGAAATTAGATGTCCTTCAACATGGCGCGCTGAAATTAATTTCCGGGTCACTACCGGAGGACCGAGGAGTCGAGGAGGGGGATTTGATTAAATGAGAAAGGGCCCAACACTAACGTGGCCGAGTGGACTCCGGAGTTTGCTGCATGAGTTGCACTGTATGATCTGTAGTGGGCTGTCACTCAAAAACTGAGTAGGCAATGGGGACGCACCCCTGAAAGTCCCGCCCACCTGGGAGGTTTGTGTCAAAATCGAAAACAAAAAATGAGGGAGCGCAAACGAGAAGAGCTGCAGCGAGAGCAAAAGTCTGATCATTGAGAAAGAAGAAACAAGAACTGCAAACAAAAATATATGTTAAAACAAAGAAAAAAGACTTATAGTTTACATGATTACACAAATGATTTGTTTGCAACTTATAGTTTTATTTTTGAAATTTATTTTATTTTGCTTGACTTAGTTTTTTTTCTTTTAAACTCATAGTTTTGTTTTATTCTGAGAAAGTGTTGCTTTATCTTTATGATACAAAACTAATCCCATAGAGGAGGGGCAGATTTTTTCTGGTTGTGTACTTTCAAATTCTAGCGCACTCGAGCTGGTTTCTCCTTTCTTACCTACCCTACCTTTAATATTAGCCAGCTTGTAATTCTCCTTAGTCCTGATTCTCCTGAATTATTACTTTTTCAATACAAAGAAAATTAATGTTTGACAAAGAAGTTACAGCTTTTTCCACCACAAGAAGTGGTTCAAATTATTAGATTTCAACCATTTTGAATTGCCATTAGGGTTTATTTACCCTAATGACCCTTAGCTTTTTTTAAGATTGTATAGCTATCCAATCCGTCCAGATTTTCCCTTAAAAGCGGCTTCAAGGCTTCTTTATTCTGAGTTTTATACCAAAAAGAAGATGCTTTGTTGACAGCAAAGTGGACATTGAAATGTGACAAAAAGCATTTGTTTTTGTGTGTCATATAGCAAAATGTTATGTTGTGTGACTTGTCTAGAATGATTTACAGCGAGCAGCCCAGAATCCATATGGTAAAATGGTGAGTTTTGTGTGTCACAGTAACTGTACAACTATGAAAATCAGTGATGCAGAGGTCAGTGATAAAGCAAACCATGTTTTAGTCTTGCAAAAGATCTACACTGCGTCCCAGCAATCCAATATAAAACACATAATGACTCTTTTAACCTCACATTCCTCTCTGCCTATCCTCATTAACGGTACACTGTTACTCCTCGCTGCTCGCCATTGTCTTCAAATCAAATGCTCCTGATGGAAATCTGCGAAGACTGAACTTTTCTGTACATTCCCTGGAGCGTGCAAGTGATGAAGCCATTAAAGCTTCTGAAACAGATGGAATTGATGTGTTGTAATTATGCTCCATTGTTGCGCCTGTTATGGCATTACATGCAGGCACTTGTGAGAGCCACCTCTGCTGGAAGCCACAGACCGCCTTTCTTTCAGGATCAGGGGGCGTGTCTTCTGCAGGGTTTTAGGTGGGCATCGGAGCATGTCACGAGCATTTTGACTGACCCCCCCCCCCCCCTGGCTGCCCCTCCTCTGTTTCTGCACTGCAAACCCACACACTGCCAAGGTCACCGGATTAGCATGCATGAGAGAAAGCGCACAATATTCTCCAAACATGAACCAAACGTAAACGAGAAAGGACACAGGGTCCACGGAGCATACACAGCATGCTGGGTAGCTATGCCGAAAAAAGGGGCGTTGGTTTGCTTCTTGCTCGCATCCAGTATGAAAGTACTCGGACTTGTTGTCTGGATATTTCCTTTGTTATACCTTCAGTACATTACATACATACCGTGTTGATACTGACTGACAGGAGGCCTATTGTTATACTGTAGGTTTGAAATCAGGCTTTGTTGTGTGCAATGCCTTTTCTCTTCCAGGTAACCATGTCAATTACTATACAACTGTTAATTAAATATGATTGAAATCAGAGTAAGTTATTAATTAACCTTAGGGATTATTAATCCAGATTGTTCTAAATCCACCCAGTTTGATGGAAGAAAATAAGGCATGCAGCAAATAAAGGATATTAAAAAGGTTATCTATACCCCAAATTACACAAAGACACCTGATTAGAGGAATACATAAAATAGGGTGATTTCTAATGTATCAGAGGAACTATATATCTAAACAACACTGGAGTAAATGTAGCTGATTAATAAAGGAATACTTGCGAAACACGCTCTCATGTCTGTATGGTAAATCGAAATCTACAGCTAGTCTTAATTCTAAGCTGCTGTCTGTGGTTTCATATTTAACACACAGACATCAGAGTGGTATCTATCATCTCATCTTACTTTTGGCATAAATGCAAATAATCATATTTCCCAAAAATGTCAAACTGTTGATTTAAGAGGAACCAGAATCAGGGCGACATACAATACAGTTCATGTGCTAAAAAGAAGGAATCACGGAGGCTGCCAACCAGCTCATTAATGTAAACTGTTCTTAATAAGTGCAGAGCTTGAATTTCTCCCTCTTGTTCCAAGGGAAAGAAAAAGAAAAGAGGAAAAATAAATCATCTCCTCCACTCATATCTGGAGAAAGACAGTAACATCCTGCCTGAAAAGTTTTTGAAAACCAACAGCGATACATGCCGCATGCCTAACCGATGCTTGCTGCTTTAAGTCCCATGATCCTTTGTGCCGTCTCTCTGCACAAGAGCCATAATGAAAAACAGACAAGGCTCTCCCACTGCAGCAACCACAAAAACCTCCACTCACTACACATGAGGGATTAGCCTGCTCATTAGGAGAGAAGGAAGGAGCAGGAGGAGAGGGAAGGAGGACAAAAGAAAAAGGACGCCTTTCCAGGAAACAGGCCATGTTGAAGCAAGGGTCCTCTCGAGAGAAAACAGCCAGGTCGCCCTTTTCTTACAGACTATACAAACCACACTGGATGTTTAAAACAGCGACCTGCTTTACATGTGTTGCTTCAATGGTGCGAGTTGAATTGACGCTACGTTAAGCATGTCAGTGATTCTGCAGACCCGGTTTATGTAAAGCTGTACCCTTAATAATTAGGTTACAATCAGCGTCAGTGACGTTTAAATACGATTTTCTACACTGTTTTATCAGCTGAAAAAGCAAGTCTCACACTATACCACTTATGCTCTCCAGTTGAGAGAATCTCAAACTGCCGCCGTCAAAATACATGACATTTAGATTATGACTGCTGAATGGAGCAAAGCAAAGAAAAGAAAAACATCAGTGGTTTGCAAAAACACTCAGTTGCTAGGAACCAGCCTTGGGCCAATTTAATGCATTTAGCTCTTTGAGAGACAAGTATTTGAAAGGTTGTTTTTTGGGTATGAGCGATGCCAATTTGAGATGTGTATAAATGCATGATGTCTCAGTGAGTTAGCTGAGGAGGGGAAAAAAACATGCGTCAGATTGTTGTTTTCAGTGGGAGGAGCTTCAAATTCAGAGAGGTAGTGTTTACAGGAGCTGACGCACGCCTTCATCCGTGTAAGCCTGTACTTTGGTTGCTGCTGGATCGGCACATTTTCTTGTATGAGCAGTGTAGCAAACACAAAGTCAAGACAGGATAACAATATCTTGTAGGAGCCACGGAGCTCATTTAAAAATCAATTCGTGAACTGTCCTTTTCTAAAAGCTGCAATGAAGGATGGTAAAAAAAAATAGGTGTTAAGCGGTCCCAGTACATTTTCCACTGTGCGCCGCATCCAAACAGAAACCTTTTTCTTTTTCCCCTCATTTGTCATAAGCTCCCATAATGCATCAATCAATTACGTAAAAGCTGTTAGCTGAGCAAATAGTGAAAACAGCCCAATGTTTTATCTTATAGAAGCCTAATCCACAGTCATTATAATAACCTGAGTGCTGCAGCGAGTAATTACATGCAATGATGAAGTCAGGTGAAAAAAGGTCCTCCAGTCAATCAGTGGAGTTGCCAGGAGAGACATTAGGTTTATATTTGTGGGATAACTTGTTGCATATAGTTGTGCAACACAAGTTAAATTGCTAGTCAAACATTTGGGAAATATGAATGCTTTTGAAAGCATGAAGGCCGTCTAAGAATACTCACAGGGCCCCAAATTGTTTTCTTCACCCAGGCCATGCATATTTCACCCCAATAATGTGTCATAGCTCGGGGGGGAAAAACAAACACACAGTGAATTCCATGCATAGTGACAGCTACTTTAATATTTAAAGACACCTTCAGGGCACAAACTTATAATTGTGTTGTAAGTTTGTTGTTTCTTCAAGTTGGCACGTGTACATGTGAGCCTGAAGGCACCTGTGGTCTCTGACATGTCAGAGGGTGCTTCAATGCAAATGTGTTGAAGCTATGGTTGTTGTTTTTTTTCACCATTGGCCTAAATGTTGTTATTTAATGTGGAGTGACAGACTGTTAAACCCAGCCGCCTTAAGTAAGTGCTGCATGTACAGATTGACAAAATGAGGCTATCTCATTTTAACAGCGATTTTGATGGATGGCATGTTCTCAGATTTGTTGACAAGCGTATTAGGTGTTTCACTTTGTAGGCAAAAAGTCAGCACCTTCACCATTTGAGGACATGGAAGTAAAAATACTTAGTTTGCAGTGTGGAACTTAGTTCTTGAACATTGAACAATAACTATAAGTTCAGACTGATATTTGTTTAACTAGCTGGCTAGTTAGATGGACTGGGAATGTTACATTAGAGCAGAATAATCCAATCTTAATTCCAGTCTTCACATTTTCGCATATATTTTTTGAAGGATAAATAAAGAAATCTTCCCCCAAACTATAAAAAAGATACCACTCTTACTACGCAATTCTTTTCACCACATTAAGAAAACCAAAGCATGAGAAACCTGCAATGCCTTGAAGCTGTAGATGGATAATAGTGTTCAGGGGAGGGGCTTGTTAGTGGGTGATAATAACAACAAATATAAAAATTGTTAATAATTATTCAAACTTACTGTAGGAGAAACTGATGCGCGGTGTGACGTCGTCCTCAGTGGCCATCAGCGATTGGAGGCAGCTAGCCAATAGCATCGCAGCAGCCAGGAGACAGTGGACAGTCGCAGCTAGTGTCCACATGGTTGCCTGATCCTCTGTTTTTAAGATTCCTTAGAATTCATTAAGCTCCTCTTGACTCCACAGAGCTTTATTCTCTCACTCCCATCTTCCTGCAGGCTGAGGGGGAGTAACCGTGTCCTTGACTTGATTCTTGTACTCCCAGTGGTCCTTACACTCAGTTAGTAGACTCTTAGCACAGAGATAAGGAATCCTTTCTGGATTAAATCCTGCTTGTTGTCATCTTCTCATAGTGCTCTCCGACGGGTCAGCACTAAGCTCCGACCAGTGGCCATTTAGTAAAAGTAATGTTGGATCTGCGGAGAGAAGAGAGAGAGGTTGCTTCTTTATGTATGATCCAAGAACATGTAAAAGCATGAAATGGAGCTAGAGTAACAGATCCATAGCCAACTTCTGACGCTATAATCTACAAATGCACAAGAACTGATACAGCTGTTCGAGGTTCGTTCTGTGGGATGGTTTGAATTTACTGCGAACAACAAATCAAGCAATCAAAAGTTAACAATTGTTATCATCGTTTAATCTCTGTCCTGCAACTTTAGCACACTGATGGCTTCATCTACAGCTTTGATGACAAAAACAAATATTTAGGCTTCAACTGTTTACTCTTTAACCAAACTGCCAAAGACAACTCAGAAACCATTCAGACCACCAGCCAGCCAATACGAACACACACACCATGTGCTAAACAAACAGTCTTTCACAAATCTTTAAAAACTAAGTGAACGTCCAACTCGCACAGCAGCCCATCAAGTTTTTTCTGTGCGATAAAACACATGTCAGAATCCTTTTTAATCCCTGTATTTAATTACGCTGTCATCAACAATCATGAGAGAGATCCCTAAGAAGTGAATATGGCGGCTTGGCTCTAATTGTGTGGCTATGTGGGGAAATAAATGAAAGAACAGTGACTCCCAAGACATCTCTGTAATTTGTCTCAAAGAGGCGCAATGAACACATGATCTGCTCTCTGACTTGTATTGGCCTCAATGTGAGTGTGCAGATAATAAATAAAATATAAATCCCATGTAGATGTATAATGGGATTTTATTTTATTATGTAGGGGATTGGGTTTCTTGGAGAACACTTGAAAACGGTACTACTCCCATCTGCTGTATCCCTCTTTGCTAAAGACACAGTACATCATCTGTATATCTCTGATTCAAATAAACTGGAAAATGGTGTTTTGGTATAGTTCTTAAACAAGCAGTGTCACATTTTTTGACCACATGAAGAAAGCACAAACCAGCTGTAAACATCACATCGAAAGATTTTAGTTCGTACGGTGAACTAGTTAGTGAGTTAGTTACGAAGCTACATTAGCCTTTATTTGGAGTCATGTTTACGGCCACTCTGCAGATCCAATTTGTTCTCCTTTTTGGTCTCCAACACCAACACAAACTATGTTACTCTTAAAGGTGGGATATGTCATTTTGGAGAAACCAGCTTGAGTGCGCTAGAATTTGAAAGTACGCAGCAGAAAAACATCTGCCTCTTCCTTCAGACTTCCTTACAGAGCCCCTCCTCCAATACACACGAACGCGCACATGACCAATGAGGGCACGAGATGGAAGGCTGACAGGCAGGTAGGCCTTCCAGTTATTTTAGCCGGGCCGGCTCGGATGATTGGTCGTGGTTTTTATGTATTTATTGTCAAAGCATTTCATATATTCATTGCTATCGGGATGTTAAGAGCATCCCATGGAATATAACAAATAGTGTTTCTGAAATAAATTAAATACCCCACCTTTAAGCTATGTAATGATCCATATTCACTAACTAGTTACTTTGTCTATTTAACTGTTTAGTACGGATTTCTTGTCTGTAAACAGCTATTTACCCTGACCCAAAAAGATGCTATGAAACCGGGGAGTGAACCAAACCGTGAAGTTGGAGGTGTAAATTAAATGCTTATGTTAAATTGTTAATACACCAACATGATATGACAATGATAAAATGTGTTTTACGATGTGAACCACATGTGAACGTGCTAACATCTGCTAATTAGTGCAAAACACAAAGTACAGTTGGAGCTACATTTATTCTGATGGGGAAATGAACTTCTCTACCATGTAAATAGTATGTATTTATTATTTAGCTGTGGGCCAGAGTTGTGGATCTACCAACACTTGTGTGGATCATACACATGAAACAGCTGCAGTCAGTAAACACAGCATAGCTTGCTCCTGTGATAGAACTCGACTCACTACTCCTTATTTCCCGACAGCGCAGGACACCTCCCCCTGAGCTCCCACATAGGTGGTGACGTTTAGAAAGTAAACACCAGAGAGCACATGGTGTCTCTGCTTGAGAGCTTGCATCACTGCAACAACTCCCACAGGACCTCATTCAAATATTTACGGTAGCTAATAAATCCAAGACTAACGGGGGCTCAGTTAGTGGCCCCAGGTTGTCTGCTGAGACAATGCCCTGCTGGGAAACACAATTTCTGCACAACATGGTCGTACAACAACAAAATGCAGGATAAAAAGGGATCTATGTGTCTCTCCGCTACCTTCCACTGCAAAGACTACAACTTGGCTAGGTGGCTAACACACCTACAAACTGGCTACATGCTAAAGTAGCAGATGGTGTGTTTTGTTGAATTGATGGGTGGTAGCACATAGATTGTAGTTCACCAGCAAGCTGTCCATCTTGCATAATGACTGGGTAACTGGCATTTTTGTAGGTAGGTGTAGGGTCATTTGTCTCACCTTTGCAAAAGCGAGTAGATTAGATTAGTTTTACTGACTTTTCCTTTTATCTCTGCATCTGTGCCTTTCTGTCACAACCTTGTCTCTGTCCACCCCCTGGGTCTCAACCACCAATATGCCCGTGTCAATCTTTCCTTCCCTACGAGCCTGCTTTGGTTCGTGCTGCTACTCTCGCTGGGTGGGAGGCTGAAACACCCGTTCATGATCGTGTAATATCTCCTTCCTTCTCGGCTGTTCAGTTTTACGCCTGCTGAGACTGCAACAACAAGCATGGCAGCCCAGCGTGTGTCACCACCCCCCCCCCCCAGGTCTCCATGTTCTCAGGGCTTATCCTTCTGCAACTCTAGAGGTTTTTCAATGTTTAATCAAAAGACAGAGGGGTGCTTTTAGGGGGCTCGCTAGCACTGTGATAAATTAGGACACTTAATGGCCAAATCTGTGGAACAGTATTGCATGCATAAATATCTCAACACTGCATTGAACTTTCGGTGCCCAAGTGATGGTGGTTGCCATGCACACAGCCATATTGTCTAGACGAGAGGTTATAAAATGTCACTATGGACACCAGATAACAAATGATGAGTTGTGGGTAAGTTCACAGAAAGTGTTAAGGCCTTGAATGACCCCTCACTTGCAATACGAGCAAACACAAGCAATCCAATGGAATCTTTTGTAACAAGTTAATCTAAACTAGTTCCACATGACACCTAAATAAATATAATCGTTACATCGTAAATATATTCATTCAAGTGCAATAAGTACATTGGCTCCAGTGCAAACATTGCCCTCAGGTTTATATATCTTTCTTATGGTACAATTAACTGTCAACTGTGGTGATTGTTTGCGGAAATTGTTTTTGTAATATTGTATTTTACAAGTTTTTTAACATTTCATCTTCAAACTGCACTGATTAAGAGTACCAATCTCTAGTTGGGTTGTATTCTCTTTCTGAAAAAAAAGCTTGTTGAATGAAAGGCAAACATAATATTGATTTGGTCGTAATAATTTGCCAAATTGAATGTTCTATCAAAATATCAAAGATATGATCATTATGAAAACAGGACAGGCTGGTGCTCAGTTGTGAAGTTACTCGTACAAACCAAAGTAAAGCTCCCAAGTAAACATTTTTGGGGTATATCACCCAAGTCCTACAAAAAAACCGAATCTGTAGTCTCTTTAACTTGAACACGTCTCTCTGGTGCCTGCTCACAGTGACAAAGTACATTGAAACAAACAAAAAACTTGGCTCATACGAGTTATGTCAATATAAAGAGGCCCCAAAAGCACTCTGGGAAAGTAAAGGTATCTGGGGAATCCAAAATACAGGATGACTCATGGGTGTGAAGCCTGCAATGTTCGTATAACTGAGGCCAGCACCTAAAAGGACAAGATAGGTGTTCCTCAACCCCAGAGACAGATCTGAGGCTTAGCAAGGGCATGAAGGGCAAGTAAACTGCTGTAATGACGCACTTATCCCGTTTTCTTTACTTGTTCCCCTGTATACCATGTCACAAGTACATGCTTGTTTGTCAAATAAGTCATGTAGTGTCCTAATCCATCCTGAAGAAAAACGCAGAATAGATCTGAAGAGAAAGTATGACATATTAATAACCATTACATCTTAATTTGACTGCATCCACTCCTACTGCTATTTTTTTATTTGAATTTCTTTATTTTTTACTTTATTATATGATATATGATTGGTTCATGTGTATTATATTATGTTTGTTTGTTTGTTCACCGTGTAAAGCGGCCTTGGGTCTCTTGAAAGGCGCTATATACATTTAATCAATTATTATTATTAAGTACTCGACCAAAGAAAGTGATCTTATTACGGTTCTGAAATCTCTACATTGGCTTCCAGTCGGCCAAATAATTGATTTTAAAGTACTATTGCTAGTTTTTAAATCAGTACATGGTTTAGGACCAAAGTATATTGTTGAACTCCTGCATAATTACGAGCCATCAAGGAGCCTCAGGTCTTCTGGGACGGGTCTGCTATCGGTTCCAAGAGTAACAACAAAACATGGAGAGGCAGCATTTAGCTGTTATGCCCCGACACTCTGGAACAAACTACCCAAATCGTGCACGTCCGCAGAAACGCTTACTATTTTTAAATCGAGACTAAAAACATATCTCTTTGCCGCTGATTTTAATTGAGATGATCATATTCGTACTACAGTATGCCTTTTAAACATGTATTGTATACCTGTGGTGTTTATTTTTATTATTTTATTATCTTTGCTTTGTAATGCCTGTTGTAAAATGCCATTATATATAATGTGTTTTTACTGTATTTATTCCTAAAAAGTCTTTTATTTTGTTTTGTAAAGCACTTTGAATTGTCGCGTACAGAAAAGTGCTATATAAATAAACTTGCCTTGCCTATTAGAAGCAAATATTGTAAGACTAGTATTAGCGCTCTATTCATCTGGAGCTGTTTCAGTACAGGCGACCCACGACGCTCGGTGCCACAGGACCCATCTGCTCGTCTAGGAGAGGGTCTGCTGCTTCTTGTATCCATGAAGGGTGAATCTGGAGCCATATTGCTTAAGGCTACAGATTAATTAACCTTTTGAACC